ATTTAAAGTAATCATTAGACATTAGTTGAATTGAAGATGTTAGACCATAAAAAAAAATCTCTTTTATCATGGTTTATTAGTCAAAAGGTTTCTAAAACAAAAGGATCTGCTTAACGACTCTAGTTGAACTGGCGACACATAAAACTACAGAAACATGTGAGGAACTAAATGAAGATCTGAGAAGCCAGACTGAAGATGAACAACCATGAATAACCAGAGTTTAAGACAGCGACACAGCATGAATTATTAGAATGTGTCAATATTTGGTGAAGGTTTGAAATAAGAAATCTGTCACCATCAGATGAAAGAAACACAGGAACCCTTTTATCCTAGCCTGACCCTCCCTCCTGCTGGGCCATTGCAGGCCTTCAGTCCTCCACTAAAACTCTCCCTGATCCAAAACTGTCTGCATGGTTTGCAGAGAAAAAAAACAAAACAGAAGAAGATAAAAGAAGAACTATGATCTTTTCTTTTCACTGGTAGAGGAGCCAGTTTTTTTTTAACTCTGTTTTAAGCAGAGTTAAAGATGTCGCATAAAAGAAAATTAAAAACAATCCACTGGACGTTTCTCTTCCCATCCCGGAAGCTTTTTCAATTCAAAATGTCAAGAATAGCGTTGAGTTCAAGGTTTTATTCAGCAGCCCAGCAAAACCGTGTTTTTGTTTTGAAAGCATGTAAATTGAAACGGATGAAGGGGTCCACGGCATTAAAATGGGGGTCTTTTTTTAGCCTGCAATGCCCCATACCTGTCTAAATATCTGAAAGGGGGGTCGTTAAAGGGAATTGTTGGCCTGGCTGAATAGGCGAGGTCCTCCGCTCTCCTGTACAGGGGCTGTAAGCTATTCCTGACCTTTTGGATGGGAAGCGAAACATCTTCAAACTTGGAAACAAAAGTCAATTGTTTCCAAAATTATAATTTTCTTTTTTTCAGAATGACTATGACCTGGATGAGAATCTTCACCAAAATTTTGCATAAAGGACTGAACTAAAAGAATAAGTAGAAATATCTTTAAACCAGTATGTGTTCTCCATTTCAGCAGTAAGATAATATAATATGCCAACAGAACAAACTTTTTTAATCCATAAACTAACATCATTAACAATGAGGTGAAATTAGCAGTTTAAGGTTTAGATATGAAAGCAGCATAAACTCACCACAGGAACCGGTCCTTTAGCCAAGCTCTCTTCAAACTCCGCCTCCCTCTCCTGTAAAAGCAAACATGGCGTTAATACAGACACTGGGTGATCAGAGGCGTCCACGCCTGCAGCTCACCATCTCTCGCTCCTCCTCCAGGATGATGGGCTCCCTCGTCCTCTCCCACAGACGCAGCGACTTGTCGTGAGACGACGACACCAGGTGATCTCCGTTTGGGCTGATGGCCAAGCACCAGACCTCCCGATGGTGACCCTGAGACCCACAGAGAGACGTTAGGGTGAGACAGAGACCTCGCCGGGCCGCTGGTCACAGCTTAAAAGAGGAGAGTCACCTCCAGAGTCTGGATGAGCTCAAACTTGTCAGCGTCCCACTGTTTGATCTTCTTGTCCTTCCCGGCGGTGAAGAACAGATGAGTTTTTGGGACAAACTGAAGAAACATGACGCTGAGGAGAACAAACAGGAAGTCAAGACCAGCAAATCTTTTACAAGACAAAATAAAGCAAACTGTGAGCAAAAGATGCACAGACATGTTAACTGTGTGTCTAAAACTAAAGCAACACAATCAAGAAGAGCTGAGAGGATATGGGGTTAATTTTGTTCCACTTTTTGTTATATAAATGGAATAAAAAAAGAACGCCAGCTAGAAATGAAATTTTAAAAAACGTCTTATTTAAAAAAGGTTTTACATTTTTTTCTCATTTTATTTTTCCAGATAACTTCATTTTTTCTTCTTTCAAATTTTCAGATTTCAATTAATTTTCATTTTAGTTTTTTTTCTATTCTATTTTTTCACCTATATTTAAAGAACTGTATTCTTTAAAAATGGCGTTTTATGAATCCTATTCCCTCCAATTCTGGAGGCAGCATCGGAGCACTCTGGATTGAGGCACAAATGAACGTTAGCAAAAGTTATTCTCAAAACATTTTCTGATTAAGATGTTTTTCAAAGTTTCATTTCTGGATTGCATTCTTTATATTTCCTTTTACAAAATGTGTCTGTTTGCAACAATAATGGAACAAAATTCATGCCGTTAGAGGAAAGAACAGGATGAGTTGAAGGGACACGGATCCGATGTTTGTTTAACGTCCTGAAAACCAAAATTTATTCTCCCCAGTCGGAGCGACTGGGGAGAATAAATTCGTGCTCCAGTGAACTCTGGATTGGTTGGTTGGTACCTGTCATCATGAGCGAACAGAGATCTGTGACAGTCTCCGAAATCCAAACCCCAGATCTTAACGTTCCTGTCAGCAGAGCCGGTGGCGATGAGCGTGCTGTCCTGTTTAAACAGAGCAGTGTCAGATTGACGAAGGCAGAAAATGATCAACTGGACTCGGTCGGTCATTTACCAATAAACACCTTACAACAGGAGGCGTCTAAACTTTTTCAAACCATTTTTATGTTCTCAAGGGCCACAAAACTAAAACTGTAAAAACATTTTTACATTTGATCAGCTTTACCTCTTCAATGGCAAACAAAGCTCAGATAATTTGAATAAATCCAGCAAAGGAGTCTGATTTGTAGAGAAAAGCAATAAATATATATATAACAGAAAAATTACTAAACACGTTTAAAAGGTTGCATGTCAGTGCAAATTAAAACCTGACATTTTACAAACATGAATCTAGGGATGAAAGAATTAACCGGATTAATCGTGATTGATTATTGAAATAATCATCAACTTAGTAATTGATCAAATGTTAACAGGAATGTAGATACTCTAAAACATTCCTTTAGCTGATTGAGCAACCCACTTACAGCAGTAATTGCATCAAAATTATCAGAAATAATATAAATATTTTGCATTTTAGCATTAGCGCCCTCCTCTGGCTGAAGTTATAACTGTCCTGCTGCACAAACCCAGGCATAGTCTGAGCTCTGGTGTTTGTGTTGGTAGGTCGATCTGTAACGGCATCGTACAACTGAGCAAAATATTCCTCATAGATGTTCAGACTTAAACTGTCTCTGCTGCTACTTCGTAAAATATTTAATGTTCAATACAATCTATCTGACTTAAGACCAAATTAAAAACCAAAGTGCTTTAAAAGTCCCCCGAGCTGATGCTTCTGCAGCCTCAGAGCCACTCACATGTGAGATGTCCAGACAGAGCACAGGCAGCTTGTGTCCATACAGAGACAGGAAGAACTGAAACAGAAGCAGAGACGCGCATCCATTAGTCAGTGAGGACTGCATCAAACACAGCTGGATGTGACGACTGTGAGACGCACCTTCAGGGTGTCTGTGTAGAAGATCTTGACGGTGCAGTCTAACAGAGAGACGGCCAGCAGTCTGTGATCAGGAGAAAACTTCACACACAAGACGTCTTCCTCCAGCTGCAGCGTTCGGGTGTGCTTCAGCGTCAGCCGCCTGCATCACAAACGCAAAGATTTAATGAGAAAATACGAGAAGCACCGTGAAACATCTTCACCTGGAAGAACCATCAAGGGGAAACTTGGAGACTTACTTCTGGCTCGTCTCTGGGTCTTTGATGAGCTCAAACTCCCAGAACTTTACTGTCTTATCAGCGCTTCCAGAGATGATTCCTCTCTGCAGGATAAAAAAAAGGATAAGTCGTAGGGAAGCGGCTGTTCCAACTGTTGCATTTCCAATTTCTCCCGAATGGTGCACGACTTTACACGAGTGAATAAAGTGAATGTGATTGGTCGTTTATCAAGGTGGCGGGATTTTTGTGGCAGAAGGTTCACAAGCTTTTTGGTTGTGGCCGGTTTGTCGGAAGCATCTTGCTAACCAGTTAGCAACTTAGTGCTAGTAGGTTCCCAATGGGAAATAACATTGGGACCAAGTAGCACTTAGCAACGACACTGTCAAGGAACACTATGGACAGCGGAAACATGCAAGAGGAGGAGAGTTTTGAGTCGGAGGTCGTGGAAGAGTCTCCTCCGTCATCCATTTTTTATTTAGAGGAGGAAAGATGTTGTGGAAGAGGACGCCAGGGCGGCAGAAGCTTGGTTTGGTGTAGAAGGCTTCCAGCCGTACATGTTTGAGCCCTTGCCTCGCAACGCTGCCAGTTCTGTTAGCTCTACGCCTGCTGAAGACACAGATGTCCATCCCCGTGAACACTGGGACGGAACTCAATAAAGTAAAGTAAAATATTCTTATTATTTCAACCGTTGCGTATATTAGCTGCGACATATGAATCAAGATGCTATGAACAAAGAAATTTGATTGACAGATGACTGTTGACCCGAATTTAGGTGAACAAGCTGACGTATAACTAACTGGCCTGCATAAGATAACGAAAAAAAAGACAGATTTTAGGACAGGATTTTATTTTTTTTTATAGAAATTTTCTACATTTTGGGTCTGATAAAGTGTACATTTATATACATCTTTAAGCCAGAATGATTTGACATTTAAATATGATTTCCCCCTGACTTTAAGAGACGGCTGCACGTTTTAGGGCTTTATTATGAAATGATGGTGGACAGATGTAGACAGAGGTGAGTCCGGCTCACCTGATCCGGGGCCAGGCACAGGGTCCACACCGCGCCGCTGTGGGCATCTACTGTTTCCAGCAGGCTTCCTGAAGCCAAGTCAAAGATCTGCAGCTTCCCGCTCTGATATGAGAGGAACATCAGACAGAGAGAAAAAGAGACGTTTTAAAGCTGAACAGTATTTTCTAAAACTTCGCCTAAGAGCTCAAATACCTTCGTTCCCAGGATTATCTGTCTGTCTCCAGGCACAAACAGGGAGCAGAGGGCGTAATCACACGCCATGGTGCGGACCACCTGCAGGGTTGCCCTGCGACAGAAACACACATATAAGCTTAGATGAAAAGCTAAATTGCAGGTTCTTCCTCTCTGATCTGCTCAGTCACCTGTTCCAGACTTTCACCGTGTCTCCAGAGGCTGACAGCACGGCCAGGTTGTCGGAGCTGAAGGCCAGCGTGCGCACGTCTGTGCGGTGACCGCCCAGCGTGAGGCGAGCCGTCTTAGTGGCTGTCGGGTTCTTGTCGGAGGTCTTCAGGCTGTAGGTTTCTACTGTGTTGTTTTGAAGCAGCAGAGCAAACTTCAGCTCTCCTCCTGCACAAGACAGGACGTCCACCCACCTGAGCGAGGACATGCGGTTAATAATCACCTCCTCCACCATGTTTGGATCTATCGGCTCCAGGCTGACCTGATCTTTGATGAAGCTTTGATGTTTGTTAGCCTGATGATCTCGTCCTTCAGCGTCCTCTCAACCACCGGCTCTGTCTCATCGCCTGCGTCTTCCTGAACCCTACAGCAGGGGGCAGCAAAGCAGCAGCTTTCACTGATCTGACCTCTGGTACTAAAAAACTGCTGCACTCAAAAACAACCACAGCTTTAAGATAAACCAAATATAAAGCTGGTGTTAGCAGACCAACATATGAGGCTGAAACTCATCATCTCCTGACACCATTAAACTGCCTTCATTTCTGTTGCAATGCATCACTGGACGATTTAGTGAAGTCCAGCTGATAAAAAAGGTGAGAATATATCAAAGAGAACCAAAAAATCCAAAAAGAGGAACTCCAAGGTTCTAAATTCATAGATTTTCCACCAAAAAAACTTAAAAAGTAAGTGACTGGTGCAAATGATCTATATGTTGCTATTATGTCAAAGTACATCCAGGAGTAAAGTAACAGTCGTTGGTCAAAAGAAGCATTTTCAGTGATTCAAACAGAACAAATATGTGGATTAGGCAAC